ACATATATACATATATACAGGTTTAAGCACAATATACTATATTATATTCTCTTTTTGCCATAGAGGCATATACTGTACAAAATTACATATTTCCTACCCCAGTCAGTCATTCCATGGTCTGACGTAAAGATGTAAGCTGTTTTCTTGTCATTGTAGAAATCTTCAAACACCTTGACAACTCTTTCAACCCCTTTATCAACAATACCAATATTATTCTGATATTCCCTGAAAAAAATATAACACATTAACTAAGAATATAAACATTTAAGCTTTGCTTGAATAGCCTGTATTCAAATATGATGCACTTTAAAATTTTCAGGCTTCTGTCTTTCCAATGAACAATGTTCTTGAGCTCAATCATGGCACATTTGCTTAGCAAAAAACAACATACTTGGAATATGGCTTGTGGGCATGTCCATTCGTATCAATTCCTAAAAGATGGAGGAAAAACACTATACGATCCTGCAGTAGACGTTCTTTGAGTTTCTTGTCTCCCTTGGCTTTTTCAAAGAAGGAAACAACATGATCAAAGACCCAAGTATCGAGCCTAGAAGCATCATCGCTGGCAAAGTCTTCTTCTACTGCTTCATACATAAAGGTCTCTATGTGACCTCGCTCTGAGCCTAAAGACAAAGGGTTGTGATAAAGTAATTTTTAAAAGAATTACAGCTCTGTATTTTCTGACTGAATTCTTTCAATTATTAAGCCATATCAACTTATATTAAAGGAGATAAAATTGAATTTCTCAACACTATACAAAGAACACATCTATGTAGGTCCTTATTTATTCTATTAAGTAGTTATATTAGTAAACTATATATTACCAATAAAAAAAATAATATTAGATAAAATAAATAAATAAAAGAAAGAAAATCACATATACCGCTTGCAAACATTGGTAGAATATCTGGACTGCCCCAACACCATGTATGACGACTCTCGTTGAAGACAGAATCAAACTCTACAGGGTTCTCTTTCCATCCTTTTGCAATTGCACTTGGGTCTTCAAAGATTCCTGCAATGATGGCCACATGACCTGGACGAGATTCTGTCGGAACTCGAGTGTGAGAGACTCCCCATGTCCCTTCTTTCTCAATGATAGATCTGTCAACGCATAAATGTTTTTCAGTATTTAGATTTTCCACACAAGAAAATATATATATATATATATATATATATATATATATATATATATATATATATATATATATTATATCTCAATCAAAACAATTTCAAATTATAATTTCTAAGATGGCTAAAGGCCCTATCACAGTAGCACTTTTTCCGTCGATTTCTGGGGTTCTGTCTGAATTGGAGGCTTTCCGCAAGGATCGTCTACAAACGGAACGTCTCCCAGACCAAGACGGTTATGACCGTTTCCATCTGACTAATTTCCATGTTGATCTTGTGCTATTAATAAATTAGATAGGATGAGTGAATGTAAACATAAGCTAATATTCTAGAACATTTGTATATACAATATACATCAACATGTTTCTTTAAAATAACGTAATATGTATGAGACTGTTCGTGTGATTCCCGGGACCTCACTCTGATAGCGCCATGTTTGTTTACATGATTTTCATATAGAGTTAATTCAGAAATGCAAAAAATTGACGGAAAAAGTGCTAGTGTAAGTATCTTTAGTTAGGGTTTTCTCAGTCATTGCTAATTTGCAAGCAATCAGACTATATATAAACTTTTTACATATATAATAAGCTACAAAGTTTTCATAGTAAAGAACTTGTGGATGATTAGTGCCACATGCTCTTCTAAGAAAATACCAGTGTGTTTGGAAGATACACTTCCAATGAGTGTCCAAGCTGTCATGCATGTTTTGTCTCTTCTCTTGTTTGCAGCTATCTTGTATAAAACATGAGAAGGTCTTTCATAAAACATACTGATAATCATTAAGCACTGTAACATTGGCTCTAGGAAGAGTCTTACCCAAAGAGATAAATCTGTTGCCTTTGAGTTATACACAGCTATACATAGTCACTACACATGAGAATTTGCTAAATTTTGACTAAGAGACCATTACATAGACTATTAATCTGCACTGAGTTTCAAATTTATCAGTAATATGGGTCATAATTGTCTGCTTTTCATATACAAGATTCATGGAACTATACATCTTGCCTTAAATAAATTCCCTTAATATTTCCTAAAATAATCTAGAAGAAGAGCAATAAAAATTCATGACCTGCTAAAGCAAGTTCAGTGGCAATTTATTATGGAGTTTTCATCTTCAACACTTTTTTCTATAATATACCAAACATTACCCATATAGCAAAATGTGCAACATGGACCTGAAAGATGCTTTTCTTCAATGTCATTCCCATGACTAACTGTAAATAAAAAAGTTGTTAAAAAATGTAACAGCTTTTCTGACTTTCATTTGCAACTAATAAACAATTTCACTGATACAACTGCTCACCAGGAATGTAATGATTTCCATAACATTTATCCATACATTTTAACTGGCTATCATCTAGTCATATTAGAAAGGGTGGATGTTGGCAATCAACAAAATACAAGTTCAGCAGCCAAGGCAATCACTATGCATTGATATTCAGGAAAGATTTGCTATAAGCACAAACTCTTTTCTTGAATTTTCAATATTAGGCTGAAATGAGGCTCAAGTTACACAATATGCATTCCCAAGAGTCCCCCCTAAGTTGTTGGATGGAGAGAAGGGAGAGGAGGCTAATACAGAAACTAATTTTTTGCAACAGCAAGGAGTAATGGATTCATTTCGTTATATAAGAAAACATGTATCTTGTGGGTGAAAGCCATGGCTGTTATATAGAAAACAATATAAACACATACACAAAAATGTATGTGTATGGAAGTTACTGTATGACCTCCACACATCTATGTAATTACAAATGGTGGCTGTTGACTTTATCATGGCTGGAAACTATGGTAATTGGCTGGCATACTACAGCCAAGTATGATTTATATTTCATAATAAAAAACTTCTCTACAGAAGCCCCTCCAATAACAGGTTAAAGAAGTCAAGGCTTAATAACATACACAGTCTAATGTGTAAATATTATCAACCATTCATTACATCCTACACTGCAATTTCCCTGTTTAAGTTTGCACCCTTCCCATCTATAAAGGATGATGCCATCCCTAAAGTTCATTTGATAAGAACTAATACTGAATTGATTCAAAACCCAATGAAAGACAGAGCTATACATTTCTAGAATAGGCCCACATCTTAATGCACATCATAATGGTTATCAATGAATTCCTAGCAATATCTACAGATACCAATATATAAGCACAATATGGATTGTAAAAAACTCTTATGGTTTGCACAATTTAGGACTAATTTTGCAAGAAGAGATATTTAACTGATACAGACACTGCCCCTATTGGGTCCAGATGTCACTCATACAGTACATCATCTAGATCTATCTTGCTAGTCTGATGTTGCAGTGGATTTCGGGTGACATCCCCTCTATAGGAAGTCAGGGGCTTTAGCCTCTAACAAAGACCAAAAAATGCATAAAAGCTCTAAAATACATCTTCATATTTTCCCCAGAATGCCTCATGGACTCATCAAGTCTAGTAGTGGCCTAGCACCAACTAAAACCAAATTCAACAGATATTAGTATGTGGACCTTTTCTAAAAAAAATATTGACTGAGTCTGGGAACATTTCTGGCAAATAAATAAGGAACTAGACCAAGCTCTATCTTGATACTCTATATGGGTCTGTTGGCCTACTTAACACTTTACCACTGTTGTATAAGCCAACCTTGACCAATCACAGCCAGTCACAAGAGGATTTAGATACGCTAGTACCCAGACAATAATTTCCTATAAAAAAGTCTTGTTTTAGAAGCTATGGCCAGTGTTTACAAACTCTGGTAATTTTTTAGTTTCATACAGCCATCCAATGTTGCACTTATTACTCCTTGTTTCAATTATTCACATTATGATATGTCTGGATCTGTTGTTTTCTGCTGTGATAAATCTTCAAAGTACAGACACACTTGCCAGACTAAATACCAAACTCCATGTATAAAATCTATTCAATAATTTAAGTTACCGTGACTGGGCATGCCCTACTCGCACTGACAAAGGGGACGGTTGATGGGGGCTCTGACCCCCAACACCCTTGGAAAATATTGTCTTCACCTCAGAGCTGGTAGAGATGAAACTCAGTAACACTAGGAGGGCTTAAGCTATAAACGGTGCTTTCCCTGATCTTCTTCTTTAATTTGTGATATTACTGTTTGTGTCTGCAAATTATTTCTGGAACTTAATGCATCCATACGAGAGAGATTAACCTCCATCACAAATTATACAAATTCAAGTATTGGTAAATGTCTGCAAAGTGGAGGCAACCCTCTGAGACTGTCCCAAAGGCTGCAACCATCCCAGTTAATCTTTACAGTATGGAGGCACTAAGTTAGAGCAAATTGAATATAATATTCTTGTAGAGGACAAAAGGTTGCAGTCATTGGTATAAGAAATAATCTGCAGGCATGAATGGTAACACTACAAATAAAGGAAAAATATCACGGAAAGTGCTGCTCTTAGCCTAAGTCCATGATTTGCTTCCAAGTTTCAGCTCTATAGTGCGAGGTATACTGAGGTGAAGACCATATTTCCCAGGGCGTGTTGGACCATCAACCCTCCCCTTGGGCATTACCCAAAGGGGACACCCATTCACAGCAACTTAGATTGATGACTAAATTTTTTCACATGGAGTTGGGGGACTTTTTCTCTGGCGAGTGCATCCATACTGTAAAGAACTACTGGGAACTCCATCCCTGGCCCCTACCCGATAGCCATGGGCATACACATTGTACATTAAAGTCACAAATTATATTCTTAATTTCTGTTGTACTTTGCCAGAGCAGATTATTTTGTGTATCAGCAAGTGCGGTTCTTTCCTTTCTTTATGATAGTGTTATAACATTTCCCTGTAGATGTATACCAAAGTAATACATGATGTACAACCTTCGGAAAATTTTCAGTGGATGGCAATCAGGAATTAAGTGTATGGAATGGTTACCTTGATGTAAACTGAGCCATTATTCATCTATGGCAAAAGGTGTATACATAGAAAATAAAGGAGATACCTGACAGAGAAGAGAGAAGATCTGCTGTTTTTTTGTAAGTCCCTTACCATGTTCAGATTGCAAATAAAAATAATATAATGACCGCATAACTTATTACTGCAATCTGTCATGTTATTCATGTATTACTGCACACTTGTGAAAAAGATCATTTTGCAATTTTTAATGTGTGCCTTTCCTAATTCATGTATCTTATGCATTCAGTAAATCTTTATAGTATGGACACACTTATCACAGACCAAGTCACCAACTTCACATTAAAGAATTTATTCATCAATCTAAGCTGCTGTGACTGGACGACTGCCTGTCTCCTCATTATGCACAGCAATATAGAGCTGAAACTTGGGAGCACAAAGTGGACTTAAGCTGAAAGTGTAGGTTTCCGCAATCTTTTTCCTTGATAATTCTATACGGTACAGATGCACCCGCCAGAGACTAAGTCCCCAACTCCGCCCAACAATCTTGGGGGACACATGAGGAACCAGGGTTTTTTTTTTTTTTTGGGGGGGGGGGGGATAAAGAGTGGGTTCAGCCTGATTTCAGTGTCAGTAAATGACTAAAGTTAATTATGAATGCAATGAAATGCGACCTTTCGAAAATGCGAGTGTCCGATTATGCCGCGATATTTAAATATACAAAAGCGCAAGTGCACACGGTAACCAACACAGAATTTACTCAACTGTCCAATTTATGGTTACTGGGTGTCTGCCCGAGGGGAGGGTTGATGGGAGCTCCGCCCCCCAACACCCTTCGGGAAACATTCCCTTCACCTTGGTATGCATAGCAAGATAGGGCTGAAATAGTTTAGAAAATTGCATTGCACTTTTCACACTTTCTTTCATTTAGGATGATTCCTTGAATCTGTAAAAAAATTTATGATCTCTTCAGTTTTTCCAATAAATTTCGAAAAAAAAATGTCAAGCACACCACCGTAATACAAATGACACACATCAGTCACTGAGAATAATGAGGCAGGCCACTGATGTAGCCAGAAATGTGCGTGTGTGTTAAGTATCGACTGTATCTGAGAAGTTTGGCAATTGAGGATATTAATGTGTTAGCCAAAATTGAGGATCAAAATACACATTTTAATGTAAAAATGGTTGAGACATGAATATATATGAAACATTAGTCTATAATCGTGTGCATTTTAATGATATAATACGTGGACCATTATACTTGAACTTTAATGAGAAACTAAAAATCTCTGTTAAACTGCCGCCTCCTGATTGGTCGTGAGGTAGTGGTGAGTCCACTACCTCTGGAGCGCCAAGTGGACTTATGTTGAGAACGACGCTTTCTGCAACCTTTTCCCTTTATATGTGGTGTTACCATTCGTGTCTGCAGATTATTTCTTGTGCCAACCACTATTACTTTTTGTCCTCTACAAGAATATCATCTTCAATTTGCCATAACTTAGTGCGGCCATACCATAAAGATTTTCCTTTTCTTCTATTTGAGGCATTACTGTTCATGTCTGCAGATTATTTCTTGCACTGATGACTGTAACTTTTTGTCTTCTATGCGAGTATTACATTCAATTTGTCCTAACTTCTTGCTTCCATACCGTAAAGATTACCTATGCAATCTTTTATTTTTATAAATTTTATCTACCTTTTTGTTATTCTATCTATTACAGCAAAATTTACCTTGAACTACATGGCTATGTGAAACTGACATACATATGCTTAAATAAACTGTGGAATCCACTCTTTGGAGCACAAAATCCTCTAATACAGAGTACTTTCACAAAAAATCAACTGGTATATCAAAATAGGGCAAGAGGATAAGAATGTTGTACTTTTGAAACTGACAGTCCTAAAATTCCATTAAGACCCTACAATCGCAAAGATTTTAGCACAAGAAAATTGTGTCAAGAACTGATGTGCCTTACAAAATTTCATTAAGCATACGGCCATGAAACTACACCCAAACCTTTTTGCCAGACCTTATGCCTTTCCTTTACCTGAGAAAGGGAGCTTTCGTGGTTTCGTTTGGGAAGTCATAGAAGGAATCGGCCCGGAGTCCATCGGCGACCAAGAGCACCAGCCTCTGCGCCGCCGGCTCTCTTCCGTGCACTTGAGGGGTCATTCCATGGCTCAGAGGTGTTTTGAAGTAAATGTCAAACACAGACACAAAAAATATCAGGTGGACGACAAAGCCCACCACGAACAGCCACATTATGAAGGGGATTTGAGCTCCCTTTTCCCCCTTCACCACTTTCAGAGGCTTAGCTGACAGTGTCAACACTGGACCAAAACATTGAAGCTAGTTTCACCGTGTACAGCTGTCTGCTGCTATTTTCACGGAGGTGGTGTTATAATGAATCTTAAGAATTGACATTTAGAATAAGAAATGGATTAATAGATATGCATATATATAAATCCAAGAATTACTAAATGAGTAATTAAAAAAGATTTTTAAAGATTTTATACAACACCAGTACAGGGCCAGCAGGGCTGTAAGTTCTTCATTTCTGCTTTTCTCTAAACATCAGATGATAAAGAAAACGGATATGAATAGTAAAATAAGACCATACACTATCATAAACTGATAAATATCAGATACAGTTACAGAGCGAAGGATCAGAGTCTGGTAATTATAAAATTCCATGTGTTACTTTTTTGTTTATTGCAATGTACAATAAATACATTACCAAACTAGTAATGTAACATTCAACATAAAATACACCCGCATCTCTTTATAGAAAATATCTTTGATGTATTACTTAAGAAAATGCGACATGATTTATCTAAAAAGTATACGGCCATTCATAATAAGTGTGTTGTAGTGCTGAATGCAAAGACTATATACGAAAGATAGGAAAGCATGGCAAAATCCTGTGAGCCCCAGCGATTTTTGGATAGTGTAATATTTGAACAATAGATGACGTTGTGTACACGATGTATCGTCTGTTTGTTTACTATCATGAAACGTCACTTACTCAAAACGGTCGGAAAGGAACTGTTTGTTTGTTTTTGGTTTGTTTGTTTTTGTATGTCTTATGCTTCCTGTTTTAGCTGTAGGCCTGTTTTCCTTAATACTTTCGGTAATTTTCTATATTACGTCCGCATGACCGATATCGACGATTTTGGTATCGTTGGATTCCTCTCACTCTCCACATTGCAAATATATAGTTATTATTGCGCGCTAACCCCCCGTTAGCGACAAACTTGGTCCCCATAGCAGGGGAGGGCATGAAAGGTTCCAGGGAAAATGCGGGTTAAATAGCACTAATAATATAACGCACAGTGAAAATAACCATGGTTATTCACATAACTTTCCATAATAACCATGGTTATTCACATAACTTTCCATAATAACCATGGTTATTCACATAACTTTCCATTGCAGGGGGCTGCGCCCCCTGCGACCCCCCTGGAGGGGGCTGCCGCCCCCCAACCCCCGCCGAGGAAACAAAACCTCCACCACGTATTCACGGCAGGCTAGAGCGTTACACAATCATCGTCGATGTCGGAGCAGGGGGCGTATTACCTCGTAAGATTCTCACTGAATCAGCATATTAACCTTATTATAATCAGCATTGTATATAGAGACGATTGTAGTATAATCAGGATAAACACGGTGGCCCGCCCTCGTCGCGGGGTTTTGCGCCTTTTTCGATGTTACACCGATGGCCTCAAAGTCGAGTTTCCCTTCCTCTGGAATAACGACATTCGTATTCCTAACCGAAATAACCGTCGCGTTCAGAAGTCAGTCATAGTCGCCGCGATGGCCGAGTGTGGAGGGTGCTCGTACTCCGAGACGGATTTTCTGCGCGAGATTGCCATTAGCCAAGAAAAAAATGCTAGATATGTGCTTCCGCCACGGCCTCCTTCGTCGTGAGAAAGATTGCGGCAGGTGCGGGCAGCCAGCACCTGAATGTGAGGTTGCATCACTTCCTGTGTGCTGCAGCGTCGCTGTATCCTCCGGCCTAGGACCTCCTGCCGGACGCACCCTGCCTCCTTCACATTTTGCGGCAAAGGAGCACCCTCCCTAGTAATTAGCGGCATTAATAAATGAGGTTAGTACCTTAAAAATCCTAGGTTATTGTAGGTTATCGGCTCCGCATCTAGTTCGTGTGCGCTCTATCCTGCCGTGAATACGTGGTGGAGGTTTTGTTTCCTCGGCGGGGGTTGGGGGCGGCAGCCCCCCAGGGGGGTCGCAGGGGGCGCAGCCCCCTGCAATGGAAAGTCATGTGAATAACTATGGTTATTTTCACTGTGAGGTTAAATTATTAGGGTAATTTTCTATATTACGTCCGGCGCTCCGACATCGTCACCCCCGCAATCGGGACCAAGTTTGTCGCTAACGGGGGGTTAGCGCGCAATAAAACCTATCTATTTGCATTGTATAGAGTGAGAGGAATCCAACGATACCAAAATCGTTGATATCGGTCATGCGGACGTAATATAGAAAATTACCATACTTTCATTGATGATGACTTGGAATCAAATAAAGAACTGTTTTACATGAATGTGTTTTGTTTATCCTTGATTTAATGACAACAAAAATTAATGAAAAAGATGAGGAATTTATTAATGGCGAATGATTGCGGATATTATTTAATAGATTTGTTTATTTAATAAATTGTGGAGTTCATTGAATCTAAGTGTATATTCACTGTATTAACACCAAAGATATTGTCTGCAGTAAAATTGTATAGTATTTAAACAATGGAATAATTTTATTGATGTCATGTAAATGTGCATACGCATGAGATAATTATTAATGTTTTATTGTCATTTTCTGAAAAAAGTGCAAACTCTTATTTTAATGTATGAAAAGAAATTAATAAGAAAAAACAAGTTATTAATGAACAGAATAATTATATAATTCCATGTAAATTTATATATATAAGTAGTTCTTTGATAGTTATATTTCAAGTATTTTATTTAAGAAAAGACATTGTAAAATTTCAACTGAAACTAAACCTTTAAAACTAATAAAAAAAAAAAAAAAAAAAAAAAATCTATATAAATTTATAGTTTCCCCTATGAACGTTCTCTTTTTTTAGTTACATATCTGAACAATAGATGGCGCTGTAAGGAGTGTTGGGCCTCACATATTTTTTGAACGGTGTGATCCGTGCTTTCCTATCTTTCGTATACAGTCTTTGGCTGAATGCTTAAAGTCACTATATGGGACTATGACTCTACCTTTGGTGATTTCCAGCGAGAAGACCAGCTGAAATGACATCGGATGAAATTTCCGCCGCGATGACATTCGATCTGCCACAGGATGGTTTCAACTGTTTCGGGGTTTAATTCATTTGAACATTGGAAATATCTCAATATTGTTTTTAAAACTTTCCTTTTGTATCAAACCATCTGTAGTCATACAAAATAACAAAAATACGTACTTCGGGAGAAAAATCAGAAGTGACGCCACCACCCGTCGGACGTCTTTTGTTTCTGTTTAACAGACGAATTTCCGTAGAATTCCATCCAAAGACTATCTACGAAAGACCGGAAAGTCGAGCAAAATCCTGTGAGTAATGCGGCGTCGGCGCAATAGATGGCGTTAGTGAGCATCTCGTGACGTCATCTCATACCCGTTTACACAGAAGCGCGAAAATCGTTCTGACAGTTCCGTCATTGCATGGAAAGTTTTAACCTTGTTCTGCTTGTAAAAAGCAAAAAGAAGAGAATAACTTATATTTCATTTTTTTCCAAGGAAAGAGAAAGGGTTGTAATATCTATGCTTTTTTAGATATAACCGAAGATGTGACGTTCAGGTTGACATAAGCAAGATAGAAATTGGATCACAAGAAATTATTTTTATTGGTACAAGTCACGGCGCCCGTCTAAAAAAGTAGAGGCCAAAAATCTACTTACTAGTATAATGCAAGCTTTAAGCTACAATTTGACGTAAGCTGACGATAGATTTGACATCAATAGAGTGAGAAAAAACTTTGTCAGGTTGATTTTGAGTTAGATTATAGTTATCACCAAAATCAGCATATATATTGATTGAATAATCATTACTTGGTAGATCTGTATAGTAGGAACAAACAGAAATATAGAAAAAGTAAAATAAGTTCAAATGTTAACAGGACAACGACGGGTGGCCTGTTTCGAGCTCCTAGCCAGAGTATACAAGGCGTAGCAGATGCATTCCAGGCAGCTCCTAGGAAAGGGGGTTAGGGGACAGTCCCCTAATCAAACATAAAATGAGGAAATTAATCTCAAAATCATGCGGTCGCAATGCGAAGAATTGAAATAAAAATGTGTATTTCGGCCATTTATTTGTAAAGGTTTTGTTATTATTCTAATAGAGATATTGTAATAATTTTCTTTAATTTATCATACTCAATTTCTATGTATTGATGCATGTTTGGCAATATAATCATATACATTATATGTCACTAATGCTATGTGACTGTAGGCCTATAAGTTTAATGTGCCACGTGGTTTAATGTGTCCTGTACATGGCATGTTGTATACGCTGTATGTATGCCTTGCTTGTATAAACTACCAATTTATAGTTATTAACCAGCCCTAAATTGCCGAATGGGTAGTTTCGGGCTGGGAGGGGCAAAAGGATTATATGAAGAAAATAAGTGCTACTACAAAGTCATGATACGATATGAATTATATATATATTATATAATATATATATATATATATATATATATATATATATATATATATTAGTAAATAAGCTATTCACAACCCCCTCTGAATAAGTCTGAACTGACCAAGAAAACTGACTTCGGATGTTTAGTTGGGCGTCGAGTCAACAGATGGTGCTGGTAGACGACCGGGGAGCTCACATTTTTTAGAATGCGTTAGATAGCATGTTTTCTGTCTTTCGTAGATAGTCTTTGATTCCATATCTGCACCCAAGGAGGTTATATATACAAGGTGTTTGCATGTGGAGCAGAAGGGTGGACTAAATTGCATCTCGTCTCGGCGGCCTGCCTTAGCCCCGCCCCATTTTGACAAAGCAGGGTGTATATATATATATATATATATATATATATATATATATATATATATATATATATATGCATATAAATATGTGAAAGATAGAATAAGGCACTACCGCAATTATATCATGAATATATTAACCTCTTCGATCGGGATTCGATCCCTCACCGTCGTTGCAAGAGATTGCAAGACGGTCACTCAAGCCACTACACCACCACCCACTAAAAGGATTATGCAACCAGGTGCCACTTAACGTCATGGGCACTACCTAACTACTCATACATGAGATTTTACACACACTCCCCACACTCCCCATGGACTTATGGAAAGAGCAGATCAAACCCCAAATCAGATAACCTGAGGTTTATTCAATGAAAGATGGAATAATGCACTCCCGCATATATATTATGAATATATTAACCTCTCCGATCGGGATTCGATCCGTCACCGCTGTTGCAAGAGATTGCAAG